AGCAGCAGCAGCAGCAGCACTCCCTGCACTGAGCTGTGTGCCCTGCAGCCTGGGAGCCCGGCTCCGAGCCCGCTGCGGGGGAGGCAGGGGGCTGCTGGGGCTGCAGCCTGGCACCGAGCTGGGCTTCCTGGGGCTGGAGGGGCCAGGATTGAGCGTGCCACAGCCGTGTGCCACCAGCTGCCAGCCTGGGTTGGGCTTGAACCACAGCTGGGCGAGTGCCCAAGTGCTGCTGAGGCTGCTCTTCACCGAAGGGGCAGGTGAGGTCGGAGGGGTGGTGGGCATGAGGCCTGGGGGCGTGCTGAAGGGGCAGGTGAGGTCGGAGGGGTGGTGGGCAGCAAGATTAACCTCAGACCAAGGTGCCACCCTGCTTCCCCAGCACCCTTGGCACACCTTTCTACCTGATGGAGCACTGTGCTGGCCACATCCACAGCGACATCTCCCTGCCCACGCTGCAGCCTGGCCACAGAAGGGCTGTTTTTGCTGCCATGAGTCAAGTCCTCTCCAAGATCCACAGTGTAGACCTCAGAGCAGCCAAGCTGGAGGACCTCGGGGAGCATGGTGAGAGAAGGCTATGAATCCTCTACCCCTGTTTTCTTCTCCCAGGGATAGGCTTGGGTAAAGGACTTGGGCCCAAACTTGGGGGCAATTGGGAAAGCAAAGATGGGCAGCAGGGTGTTGGAATGCCCAGGTGTGGTGGGAGGTGTGGAGAGCTGCTTTGGGTCCTCCAGGTTTGTGTTTCCTGTCAGTGGTCTCTAAAGCTTCTTACCAGGAGCAAGAGCTGCACTGTGGGTGCACAAGTAACTTCTTTGCTGTCATCTCTGACCTTCCTCAGTTCTTCAGTCTCTCTGCAGAGCTAGCTCTGCTCCTTGGAGCTGGTGAAGAAGTTACTTTTTTTGCCCAGGATCTGATGATTTCCAGCAGAATATCAAATCCAGTGCCCAGTTAAGAGTGTACAAGACCCCTGGCAATCACAAGTGAACTCGTGGGGTTTATCTGAGGGTGTTGGACTGGATCTGCTTGGCTGTTTGACTTGGTCTTCATGCACCTTTTATGTATCTCTTTTGAAACCTCTTTGTGCCAGTCCCTTTCCCTGAGAGCCTTCATTCCTCTGTCACAGGCACCTACATTCAGCAGCAAGTTGAGACCTGGACAAAGCTGTATCGAGCCACAGAAACTCACCTTATCCCAGCAATGGAGAGACTCATCCAGTGGCTGCCTCTGCATTTGCCTGAATCTCAGAAGACAACAGTTGTGCACGGTGATTTCAGGTACTGCTGGGGTGATGGCCCTGCCCTGGAGCACACCCTGGGCAGCAGGAAGGGTGAGAGCAACACGAAGCCTCCAGAGAGGTGCTGAGCTGGGCTGGCACAGCAGCTTCAGAGCCATCCCCAAGCTGGGCTCTGGGTCTTGCTCAGCATCCCCCAGGTCATGAGAGCTGGATGGCCACAAGTCCTTCACATCTGCATGAGAAACGTGGCCTGGGGGCTCTGACTGGTGCTGTCTTGCACCCAGAGCTCTCACATTTTCCCCAGTGTTTTTTTTTGTGGCAGTTTAAATCAGTACCCATTGAAGAGCAGAGAAACCAGGGGCCAGAACTGAAAGCCTGGACTCCTGATGTCCCATTCCAGTCTTGCTGCCTCCTTGGTGTTCCAGAATTTCTTGTTGCAACCACTGCAAACACTGGAGGATCATCTCACGTTCCTGCAATACTCAGAAATCAATCCTGGTGCATTTTGCTAATGATGTTTGGGTGCCTGGTGAGTTTGGGTGCCTGGTGAGGTGCTGCAGGACGTGTGGCAAGGCCTGCCAGTGTTACAGGTGATGCCAGCCTGGTGGCTGGGGACAGAGGTGAGGGATGCTGAGAACATTGTCAGACCCAGGCTGCAGCGTAGGCACGTGCCAATTCTGGGCCAAGGCTCCTTCCCACAAGGTTTAGCAGCCACAGTTCCTGTGTGACTGGCAGCTGGTGAGCTCTCTGCACCCTGGCAGGATGGGTGCCCTCTCTGGATCCTCCTCAGTAGGCTGCTGCCCTCTCCTGGGGCTCACACTGGTGAAGACTGGACTACACATAATCTGCAGCCCACGACAGCACAGGGCCTGGAGTCATGGTGTGCCTTTGAAATGACCAGAGGATGCCCCTGGACAGTGGTTTTCCTGCTTCAGTTTTTGGCTAGCCTGTCCTGTAATATCTGTTAGTGTTCTGAACCCCTGGATAGCTTGGTTTTATTCTTCAAAGCACAGTTCAGTTCCTCACTAACCAGGGAGCTCACTATTGAGCAGTCTCAGTCCTCTCTGCCCTGTGCTTGGAGAAATTCATGTTTCACTTGTGCAGCCTCCCAGAGGGCTCAGTAAGTTTTTCAGGGTGAAGAGCACTGGAGAGCACCTACTGCTGCTGAGCTCTGGGATTTTTTTCCCCCCTCTCTTGAGACTTTTCTGATCTCTTTTTCCCCTCTGATACAGGATGGACAACCTGGTCTTTCATCCAGACAGGCCAGAGGTCCTTGCTGTCCTTGGCTGGAAACACTCAACTCTAGGAGATCCCATCTCTGATCTGGCAAATAGCTGTATGGGCTTCTTCCTGCCACCTCACTTCAATGCACTGAGAGGTACAGAGAGGGGCACAGTCACCCTGACACACAGAGGGAGCAACCAGAGCTCAGAAACAGATTCACTCCTGCCCAGAGAGCTCAGCTGATGGTTGGGCTCCTTACAGGTGGCAAACACTGTGGGTCTTGTACCATATTCCCTGCTCTGCCTCTTCTCCTCTCCCCAAGGAACCCCCATCTCTCCAGGAGATCATCTTTCTGCACATGCAGTAATCACTGTGCTGTGGTCACCCCATCCCTAGTTTGTCTCCTACCTTCCACCCATGTGGCAGAAGCTCTGCCACCTACTCCCTGGCCTGCTTGGTGCTGTCACCCTGTTCTTGCCCACGAACCTTGGTCTGCAGTCATGTCATGGCCCCAGAGGGGAGGGCTCTGCCTCACAGCTTGCAAAACTGTGTTTAAAATACACTTTGAATTATTTTCCCTCTCACTTCAGCTGTGAAGCTGGGGGACACTTTTGGGTGAGAAAGCTCTGAAGCAGGTCAGCCCTGAAGGGTTTTGTCCACAAACTTCTACACTTCTTCAAAAGAAAAACACAGGGTTAAACCAAGAGGTCCATCCTTTAGGAGGAAGATCCATCAGTCACTGCTGTCACAGTCTTGCCCTAAAGAAGAAAACTGCCCCATATACATTTCACCTCCATGGGTTGGTGCTGAGCCCTCACTGGTGTGTGTGGGAACACGAGAGAGCAGTGCAGGTGTTGGAGGGGTGCAG